GACCCGATCTGTGTACTGAACCGTGTCGAGAACCACCTGTGCCAAATCAAAGGTCATCGGTTCTCTGGCCAGTTGGTGTCCAAGCCTGAGTCTTCACAAAGGACAGACTTTATCATGTGGGGTGCTTCTGGCTTCTGGTATGCATCCAACTGACACCTTGCAGGTCGAGTCAAAACTTGGATACTCTGTCCGTCGCAAATGCAAACTGACTCTAGCCAAAAGATTCGAGCCTGAACCGCCTGCTTAGCTGGCAAAAAGAGAGTCACCGGCTTTCTCATGGAATCTTGCCAGGCCCGCATGCCGAGGGACATGACAGCTCTTAGAATGCCAGTTCCTACGGGCCTACTAGCGCTTACAAGTACAACACTGTCTCTGGTATTTCGTGCTGCCGCTGTCATCCCGAAGCCAATCCCATACCAATCCTGACTACGAGACCTTGTAAATAAACCCCAAACACCAGAGCCGTAAACCTATTTAAAAACACCATAAGCCCTATTCCCCCTTAAACTAAAAAAAGAAGCCTCCAAGACAAAGAAAGGACGCCTCTGCTAAGGCGGCCCTGCCTTGGAATAATGTAACCATGAAAAAAGACGACTATATGCGCCCCTCAAACCCGACTCTAACTGCCTTGTAGTTCCCATATGTACATTTTAGAAACACTGTTGCGATAATACCCCCCCCCACCCTTCTCAGAGAAAACATCGGTTCGAATTCTTTAGGCCCATTCTTGAAGAGGCGCCTGCAGCACCGACTCTCCGAGGCGGAAGAAGTCCTCGGAGAGGCAAAGATTCTCCTATCAGTAGACTTACAGTATGGCATTTTTAGAATAGGGTAGTGTGGATTAGCGTGTAGACTAATCTAAGGAGTCTGACGACTCAAACGGCCCGGGTTTTCCCCACCCGCCCAAAGACCCAGGCTTGAGGGGTGAGGGTTGGCAAGTTTGACGAGACCGATCTGTGGCTTGCAATAAGGGGTTGAGCCTCTAACTTTCACTTGCACCAGTGGCTTTAAGGGCAGGGTTCTAAGATGAGGGAAGGTGGAGAGTTTCTTGCCAAGACTCGAAGCCGTGCGGAAAGTAGGTCTGCCAATGACCACCTGCACGACGATGTGATGAGCTCTTGGGGGCAGGGCCATGCGGCGCGGACAAGTGCAGGTGGAAAGCAGAAGTGCAGACTGCATACCTCCAAGCTTCCGCAGCACAGGGCATAGGCCAGAAGAGAGCCCACTGCTGGCCGGAAATCCCAGAAACCACGCTGCACTTTTTGGGCCTCCACCGGAAGTGACGACGAACATCGGATAGCGCCGCACCCCCAGTCTTTGCAGCACGTCCTCGCTGTCAAGGGATCGCAATCAGATCGCACTCTGTCTCCGTGCGCTTTCGGCCGGGCTCCCGCTTTAAGTTGTAGCCGCCATACAGGGACATACAACACTTGGCAGCACTCTGTGCAATCACCGATTACTCGTGTCGCCGCAGCTCATCATCCCCAAACCAAGGTCCCTGAACCTTTCGGCGTGAAACGTCTTTTGTGAAGTTGTCCATTTCAAAGCCCTCTGGCTGGGCACCTCCTCTGCTGTGAAGACATTCAAGTGGGCAAGCTTCACCTCCGGCACATCTATATCTGCAAACCTGACAATAGTGAAATCAAACGTCCCAACTGCTACAGCTTGCTGCTATGAACACCAGCAGGTCGAAGGAATTCCCCATCTAAGCCTACTAAAATAAACCGAACTGCCGGGTGCAGTCGTATGGCTTAAACCAAACTGTGTCGCTTCGACGGCTGCTGTCACGAATTTCTAATCCGGTGCTCTGCGAACCATCGAGGAAGGCGACTATTTGGCCTCCTGGGCGACTTCATTCATCCACTGGCCAAAGTAATGACGCCTGAGGCTCACTTGAAGGGCCGCTTCACATGTAATGTACGTTAGATAAGCAGCCGCTATTTTGCGCAGGGCTCGTGTGTGACCTGTCATCTGGTGATCCAAGATGAGCCATCTTCCCAGCGAGAGTCGAAAAGCCGAAAAGCTTCCTCGAACCTCCTGGCGAAGCTGTCGGTGGAACAAGGGCTGAATTGGTTGAGCTGCAGGCTGGTCTGAGTAGACATGGATGACGTAGGGCCTCAGAAGCTCGCTAGCGTAGACCTACCGTCTTGCACTTGCAGCCGCATTTCTGTCCTTTCACGTTCTTTCACTTCGTCGCACCCTGAACCTCAGCCCTCCCTCTCCCACCGCCGAGGCAGCATCTCGTTCATGCTCAAGATTTCGGCGAGCCGAGACAGGCTGCTGACCTTCAGCGGTAATGAGATGTTACACTAGTTATTTTACTTCCCTAATCTTCCCTCTAAGATAGTACGGTGGAAAAGCAGCCATGGCAGCATGGGCCAAGTGCCCTGTCCTATGTTGCCTCATCGTCACCAGAACCATCGCTCTCCCTCCTCTTCCCTCCCCCTCCTCGCTCCTCCCGGCTCCTCATGGCTCCTGCTCCTACCCCTCCTCCGCCTCATCATCGTAATCATCACCTTCACCATCGCACCATCGCACCATCGATCATCATCAACAGCACGGCCACCAGAAGCACTAGAAGGAGGCCAGCAGCAGCATCAACAGCAGCGGAAGTCACAGTCAGAGCCAGAGTCTGCGAGTGATTTACCATGAAGCTGAAGCATCGGGTCTCCTGTGTTGTTTCTGCAAGCACAACACAAACAACTCTCCATTTCCAGGGCATTCGCCGGCTCCCCTGGAGGCTCGAAGCCACCACGGTCGGCACCCTCCCACCTCGGTCACTCTCAGCAGTTCAACAAAACGATTCTGATAATCAGAAGTCTCATCTCCTGTATAGCTGTGAGGGTGCAGCCTTTCTCGGCTGGAGGTCTGGTGTGGCAGTTTTCGGCGAGATTTCCCTCCAACACACGTTTGTTTCGACACTCACACTCGCACAAAGCAGGCTAGGGATCCAACAAGAAGAGACTACAGTTAGGGAGCCTCGTGCTTCAACGGAGATAAGCCCGATCAGACTACACATCTTGCCAACCGCACGAATCGAACCATGCCGAGTGCTTTTGTTTTGCGCCGCTGCAGAAGGCATTGTGGCAGAGCCATATCTGCCACAGGCCACAGCTCTCCTGTAGCGTGGCCCCGGCCTAATGCAAGCTAGCAGGTTCTATAAGCAGACTCCAACAAAACGCATTGTTAACACCCTCACTCCCAGATCACACGAACCGTCGTGCCCTGCATGTCCGAGTCGCTCTTCTCCGGACTCTTCAGAGAAGAAGGCCTCCGGCCGTACATAGTTCTTCGGGGTCGAGTTATGTTTTCAACAGGCAGGCTGTGTTCATACGGCAAGGCGGCTGCGATTCCATTTCTCCTGTTCAGTTTTTGCCATCTCGGCCAGCGCTGTCAGATCGAGCCACCAAGAATTGACACTTGAAGGAGTCCCGCGCCAAGATCCCACCACCGGCCCAGCGGGGTTTGATTGTGGTCTGGCATGGAATAAACTTGGGACTGTTGAACTCTCCGGCAGCCTCGGCGCTTGGTTCAACCAGCTATACATGTGGAGTTGCTGACTTAGGCGGCCTCAGCTTCTCTTGCAGGATCACGCTGGAAAGGATCGGACACGGTTCTTTCGGTACTACAGGCAAGGACTACACCAGTATGAAAAAAGCTTCAGCGGAAGCGGCTCGGCGCATACTCTTTAGTGTTTGGGGCTTCCAAATGATTTTGCGAAGCAAGGAGCTTCACGGGCGAGGCTTTTTCTTTGCATGACTGCCGCCGAGTCCAACGTCAAGCTTACTTCCCCCTACAATATGCCAGAAAGATCAACACAAGGAAGTGGTTTGAGCATTGCCGCACAGTCAGCAAGATGCAACCTTAAGGTTTCTTCCTACTGCCCTTCAGTCATGCGTGTCCATCGTCAACCCATCGAGCAATCTTTCCAAAACAGGTCGAGTATCAACCGAGCACTGACTTTGACACTTGCACACCTGGTCGTTTCAGTCAGGTCTAATTTTAGCACGTGGCTCGCACGACCAGTCGAAGTCAGCAGTCTAACTGTTGACACAGAACGTATTGGAGCAATCAGCTGCATCAATCTCCCTTTTGGCACCCGCCAGGGCCAAAACTCCCTTGCAAGGCGCCGGTGCGGACCTGCGAGGACTGCGCCTTGATTGCACAACACTTCGCTCGTGGTGCTTGGACCTGCATCTTACAGCAATGCTTCAAAGTTCAGACCTCAGATGTAGCCCAAGAAAATGGAACCGAAGAGTCGGACTGTTCGCCCTCCTCTGAACCTAGGGCCAACTGGGCTTTACGGTTCCATCCCATGTTGCCGTGTCGTGTCCGAGACTGTCTGAGTTTCTGAAACTCGAGTCCGTACGGCCCAGGTTCTATGAAAGCCCCCACGTCTATTGGAGCAAGACGGGTGTGGCCGGTGTGACGCATGTCGTCACAAGGCCACCTCTCAGACTCAGGGGCCCAGCCCGAAAAGGTTCACCTTCTCAATGAAATGATGCGGTAGATTCATAAAGGGATGAGAGGTATTGAAATTATCTCCGAGAGGTCCTGGCCTCATGTAGCTTGCAGAGCGTAAGTTTGCATGACGTATCTTGAGTTGCATCCCGAAAGCTAATCGCACTCCAAACCTCCTTCCAAGTGAACGCTTCGTGGGCTTTCATATCGAGGCGTTGGCCTAAGTGTCGAAAGAGTTCCCTCTCGAACACGCGCAAGCACAGGCCGTGGGAGCTCAAAGCATCTGAAATCTGAAATCTCTCTGGGTCTCACGCAGTCATATGAAATCTACAATACGCAAATATGCAGATCCGACGATAGTCTTTCGCATTTCAGATGCGGCGCTGACCCATGTCGTGGTTCTGTCAGAACACTGTCAGAACGTATGCAGGCCTGCCATGAAGTGAGAGATTTGCGGCTGATTCAGCCGCATTGCTCTGTCCTGTGCTACATGCACGAACAAGCCTGAACCATGCCATACCTCCGGAAGCACGCCTGCTTCAACAGGGGCTGGCACCGGCACCATGGTTATCTGATTGTCTTCGGGACTCGACAACTCTGCCCAGCAAAGCTGTGACCTCAGCCCTCGTGCAAGATGACAGAACCTGCTCATGGTATGCTTCTGGACGTTTTGCCCCGCGCGCATCTATATTCACAACATAGGGTGGCCGCTTGGTGAGGTCGTGCTCTGTGAGGTCCTCAAGCCACGACTCGCTGCCAAGAAAGACAACGCAGGGAAGATCCTGATTTTGACTCTGCGACTTGAAGAGCGCTACGCAGAAGTCCCGGCGATTGCAACACTCTACAACATCCTGAACACCTAGGGCTTGAGCATGTTGTTCAAAGATGAAACGCTCATAATCCTCCCCGCCAGCCACAAGCACATCCATCTTGCCCTTGAAGCTTGGTCGCTCAGCTCCTGCAGTCCACGAGCGCTGCGCAATCTCAGCACTGCTAGGGCCAAATGCTGCCAACCCGGAGCTCGAAGCAGCCGGATTTGTCGAGCTTCTTCCAGACACCGCGGCTTCGGTACTTGGACGTGTTTCGCTGCGATCAGGAAACATCATGCCTTCGCCTGCGCAGGCGCAGAAGACGACCTGTCAGACCTGCCAGTGTCCTCTAGTCTCTAGCTGGCCTTGAAGAGTCCTTGGGATTTGAGCCGGAAAAGATGCCGAAAGGGTTATGGGCTTCCAAAGATAGTACAGCAACTGCTTTGACTCTGACGCTGCTGCGCCTTCTGATTGTCGTATCGGCGACGCTTGTCCACGTCGCCCAATACCTGCGCGGCGAAGGCTAGGAATGTGCCAGGCATGACAGAGTACTCGTCGTGGCTGAATGAAATTGAGCTTGTAAATGCTTGAGGTTTGCTATCAATCAGACAGTGCTGCGCGATGTTCAACGGAAAAGTCGCACCTCGTAGGCTTGTTGCACGGCCTCGGACCACAACGCAAGATCGGGAGCCGTGTAGATCCGTTCAGCTCGAAACGCCGATCCATTGACTTCGATCCGACTTCAGCTTGTCCCATTTGGGCATCCAGTGAAAGGGAGCTGCACGACAGCTATAGTGAAAACGACGCCTAACGCGAAGCACAACATGCATGTTGAAAAGCACATTGGGTTGCATCGATCTGTCTATCCATCTATCTATGTATCTACCTCTCTATGTATCTATGTATATATCTATCTGTTGATCAATCTATCTACCCATCTATCTATCTACCCATCTGTTTATCTGCCTATCTATCTATCGATCTGTCGATCTGTCGATCTGTCTATCTTTCTATCTATCTATCTATCTATCTATCTACTGACTTAGCTATCTATCTATCTATCTATCTATCTATCTATCTGTGTATCTATCTATCTATCTATCTATCTATCTGTGTATCTATCTATCTGTCGATCTGTCGATCTATCCATCTATCCACCTATCCATCCAATCCATCTATCTATCTATCCATCCATCCATCTATCTCTCTCTCTCTCTATATATATATATATATAACTAAGTACCGTAGAGGGATATCAGGAAAAAAACCTAACCTAGAATAGAGGGAGTGAGACCATCAGCTTGGCTTCTCGGACTTCTTTAACGGCCTCCGCAGACAGTATGGACAAAGAAGGACGAATCAAGTACCTTGCACAGCTGCAAGCTCTGACCGTAGCATCTGTCTGACATCGTCATTCTGCACTCGGAACGAATCGGTTTGACTAGCAAAGCGCTCGGAGGCTTCCTTCTATGCAAAACAGGATTACAACGAGGCTTTGGCACAAGGCTTTTACTACAGGGCTGTTTGAATAACCATGCAAACTCGTTTAAGGCTGTCGTACGAGGCTCTGAGGTTTTGTAGTGGAGTCCCAAGCATGCACTCCCGAGGCCGGGGCGATGAATTCTCCTGGGCATGCGCAGCGCACGCCCTTTCTCTCTCTCTACCAGGGAAGGCGCAGCTCGGGGGGGCTGGGTTTGGGTTGGGGGAGGGCTGGGTTTGGGCTGGGCTGGGCTGGGCTGGTGTATGGCAGGGCCAAAAGAGTCAACAAAGCTGAACCTATGCTCGCCAAGCGTCGCTGCGCTGTTTCCTTCTGATCAGGATTCTTGTCCGGGTGCCACCTTTTCACACTGTCAAGGGGCTTGAGGTCAACGGTTCAAGACTCCGACTTGCGAATGGCGACGAGAGCACGGACATGAAACACAGCACCATGCAGATGGATTTCGAACCATGTCCGAAGCTTCAGCACGGAAGAACAGCCGCCCCAGAAAAACAACCCATCGACCTGGCGAAAGCCTCCGGCTTGAGATCACAGAATTTCGTTCGCATTACCACTATTAACTACTATTGCCATGCTACTTCCATGCAAATACGGGTAACATAACGATGCCACTTGAAGTGCCAATGATACTTGTGCAGCCACTCTGAGAGCATGGCTTTAATGCGAGCTTCTTGTAGGCTCGCTTGATGTCCGACTCGGAGGCATCCTGCCATCGATTTGCATCTCAGATCTGCAACCGTAACCCCTTCTAGGGAATCGGGGTTTAGAGCCATCTAAGGTCCTGGACCTGAGCTGTGGCCTATCGAAGGGGTGTTAAGAATGAGCCTGGCCTGGGCAACTCCGAGCACCTCGTAGTAGTCCTCAAGAGGAGTGAAGCAACTTTCAAGTCTGTCCACGCTGTGTCAGATGTTGAAATGCGTCGAATTTTGGAGACACAAGCTACAGGTGTCTTGAAATAACGCACCTGCGTACCTCTGCTATTTTGCGTGCAGGAGTTCTCTACCTACTGAGCCGCCTGACCCCACCCCTCCGAGCAAGGTCCTTCTCTTTCTGTGACCCTCCACAAGCCAGCGGCACTAGCACCTCGTTAGGGAACCATGAAGCTCAAGCACAGGGAGATCGAACGGGATTTCCCTGTGCATAAGACACTTGGATCTATGTGACGACATGATTCTGCGGGAGCATTTAGAAAATCAACCAGCATCTTCTTCCAGCTGCTCGGGCATAGTTCGTAACAGTGGCAGCTTTCTATACTGGTTTGCACTCTTGCACACGACTGAGGTGCAAGTCCTTCCCTGGCACTAGTGCAAGTGCCAGGATTCTCGTGAACCCTCAATGGGGCACGATTGTGTAGCTGACAAACTCAATTCTTCATGCAGGTGCTGACGACTCAGAGCCCAACCGCAACGGTGAGGGCCAAGCGAAGCAGCCAGTTCTGCATGGCCCTGGGTAATAGGAAGGCTGAGGGCATGCACACAAGAAAGTAATCCTTCAACGGTTGTTTCGCCATGAGAGGGCAGCCGATAGTATGATCGGTCAGTTGGCGAGGGCCATGATTCATGAATGAAAGCGATGTTGACGGTGACTGTGCCTCATGGCGTTAGCAGTCTCGACAGCATTTCGATTGCTACTCACTTCTTTCATTGACCATCACCATGACAGCCATACGTTGGGAGCATGTTTCCTGGTTTGTGAATGCTTTTTGGTCGTGCAGGAAACACTCGACGATACTTCAGTATAAACTCGATTGAACCATCAAGACTCATGATGACGCGATTACAGTTTACAGAATCATGTGGGCAAGAGCAGGGCATGCTTCCGGGGTCACCTCCGAGATAACGAACGCCCGAAAGATGCGGCAGCATAATTTTATCCCACTGCTTAGCTCTTAGCTCAAGTGCTAAAAGCTGAGCTGGTCTTTGGTCATAAAGCCAGGACGCACGATGTGCAACATACGGAAAGCCTCCTGTTCCCACCATTAGCGGCGGCAATATACAGTAGCTATGCAATCGAACCGGAAACAAGCTCGGAATCTCAGTCGTCCACGACTTGCTGGATGCAGCTGCGTGCCATCAGCGGTTCCGGTGGGCTGCTGCCCTAAACACTTTAAAAGCTTTCCGTGGCCTCAAAGTGATGCCATACTGGCCATATAAAAGTACACAGACGTCAACGGGCTAGAACCGTTGTCGGCACGTGATAGGTGCTGCTGTAGTGCTGCAGGCGACCCCTCAAGTGCTCTTGCATGCAAGTATTGGGCAATACCCTCGTACCAACGACACTAAAACGGAGTTGGCTGCATGGCCTTTTCTGTCATGTTGGAAGCATCAACATCATGCTGCTCCTAAGCTGTACTTGTGCTGTGAGCTTGGAGAAGCCCAAAGAAAAGCCAGTGATAGTCCCACAATACAGCATGTGGCCAAGGTGTTGCTGCAAACATTCGAATGAGACGAAAACAAGCATGTACCACCACCCTTGCATGCGGCGGCAATGCGGCGACAACCACGATAGCACAAAACGCCTGTTTGTGTCATGCTTTTCGATCCAGATCCTCAGCCATCCATCAGCAGGGTTTCCCATGTTGATGCAAGCCGCAGCGATGTTGCGCGGAAACGCCGCCTCGGGGTCACTGTGCAGCAACTTCAGGGGTTCATCAAAACTCGCGTGACTGGCATGCAATGGGCTTGGCTGACTTGAAAAAACACAATGTCCACGATCGAGTGCCCTGGCCGCTAGCGCAACTTCCATATGGCCTTGTCTATGCGACAATATGCGACAGCTACTGCAACACCCGAATGTCTCCAAAACAACGTGGCTCTGTTTACACTTGCAGCAAGAGCAGCGCAATTTCGAGCTGCAGCCAGTTGTTCAAAGCCACCTGCGCAAGCATGCGGACATGTTCACATCCAGCCAATATGTGGGCCATATAAACCTTTCTAAACTTCGGACCGAGCAGAACAATGGACTGCAACAGCTGATCTCCATCAGCAGACACTTTGCAAGAGCAGGCCTGCTCGGCCCAGAACCTCATGTGATTTTTCAAGACAAAGGTGTGGAAGGGAAATTACAGGCTGCTTGTACCACTTAGTGGTAGTCGTAGTAGTAGTAGACTCTGTGGTAGTGGTAGTGGTCGCTCCTTTTTTTTGTGATGTGTGACGCCCGAAAACTGAATGGTGCACGATGTCCTCGGCCCTGGCAGCACTTTCAGCAATGCATGCGGTAGAACCGTCAATTCTTTTCAACAGCGATTTCGGATCGACTTCTTCAGATTGGAATCTGTGGAGCTTAGCAAGATAGATCGAATGCTTTTGCTCTCTGCTTTCGTGCTTGAAAAAACGCCTAAGACGCCTGCAGCAAAAGAAACATCCCAAACATTCAAGAAACACCGTAGGGGTGCTCAAATCTGAAGACGGCGTTCACTCCGAAACGCGTAAAAAAATCACCAGGCCTCCTACGCGCCTGTGGCCTAGTAGTAGTACGAGTAGTAGTGGTGGTGGTAGTGGTAAAAGAAGAAGTAGTAGTAGTAGTAGTAGTAGTAGCAGGAGTAGGAGTAGCTGTAGCAGAAGTACAGCGACAACACTGCTTCAGAAATCACGGGTTTTAAGCTCTTGAGCCCCTCGGGCAGCCTTTGAAAATGAGAGATCCAAGGTACCCTGAACTCGGCGTGCAATGTCTTCTTGTGCTCTTCTCGACATTTCTCGGCTTGTTGGCTTCGCTCCCCAAAAAAAGACAGAGTTAAGAAACTGAAGGGCTCGATTCGGCATGTCAGGGGCTGGGGGGCATGCACATGCACGCGTGGTCG